GTGTCCACTCTGCAGCTTTCCCTGCAGAATGAAGCTATGAGCCCCTCCCCTGCCCTGTGGCCCAACTGTAGGATGACTGAAAAGACTCGGGAAATGCAGCCCCAGGGGAAGCAGCCACTGCCAGCAGGAAACCAAGAGATTCACCTTGCTCCTCACCCCCCAGGGCTTGGGTGGGGGGAGCACATAGCTCTAGGGAGCAGAGGCAGACCTCAGAGGCTCCAGACCTGTAGGCTGAGCTCAGCTCTGTCCCCTGAGCCCTGCAGAGACATTAATGCCACCTCCTCAGAACACAGTGCCCAGTCCTGTGAGTGAGGTCAGCCCAAAGTCCTCTGCCTTCCAGACAGGAAGGGCTTTCATCGTCCTCTACACTCTCAGCATGGCCAAGTAGGAACAGGTCATCCAAGGGTATCCTCCCCTCTGGAAACCCAGCCCCTCAGGCAAGGCTGAGAGCCTGTGGGCCTCACATGGGCTCACCTACTGCTCACCCATGTGTATTGGGCCAACCGGAACTGTGATAGCCAAGGACCCTAAACAGCATTTATACCTCAAAGTTCTGGAGGTGAAGTTCAAGAGGGCACTGGCATAACTGGATTTTGAAGAGGGCCCTTCCTGGATGGTGGGATGGTGTCTCACTGCATCCTCATGTGGCAGGGCACTGATCCCATCACAAGAACCATCTCCCCTACTTGTCCGAGACTAATCTCCCAAAGGGCCCCCCATCCCACTGCAGGTCAGAGCTTCACAGAGGCACGGGGGGGGAGGACACATGGAACCATCTTGTGGTCTCCTCCATAGGTCACATGTGCATCACACACAGGTTCACCTGTATGAGAACTGGAATGCAGCAGTTCCTGCTGCCTGTCACTGCAAGCCCAATGAGCAGCGACCGAAATCGATTCTTTAAATTGTGGTTTATTCAGACAGCCAGCAGTCGGGGAAGCCAGAGGAGACTTGCCTTCCCCAAGCCATCTATCCCTGGCATATTTCATAGGAAAACAGGACAAAGGCAATAAATCCCTCCAAAGTCTGGTCCCTCTGGCCAGGTGGTCGTCCTTGTCTTTGAGATTTATGGTGTTGGTTCTTTTCTCCAGAGGATGGGGGTTCGCATGCACCAAGCCTCTGAGTTGCCTCTGAGTTGAGTCATGTAGATCACCTCTAGGTCTCTCTGAAGAAAGCAAACTTAAAGATTCGATCCCCTCTGCTCACTGACCTCTGTGGTGACAGGCAGCACCAGCTCTGGTACTCTGGTTACGTGTGTTCTTCATGGACTCACTTGTGGCCTGACCTGTATGTGGCTCTCTCTCCACATCCTGCAGGGAAAACCCCAGCCCTGCAGCTGACTCTCTCCAAGAGTCAAGGAAATGGCATCCAAGCAATGTAGCTGAGGCCATGGTGGCTGTAAGGCTCTTCCCAGGGCTGTGAAGTAATTCTAACCACAGGGGTTATGTGAGTGCCAGGCCAGGCCATGGCAAACGACGAGAGGATCTGTAAGGGTGGTGGCCAGCTGCATGACTGGGACCACTCTGCCCCATCCAGCTGGCTGCCTCAAAGGGAGACCACCCTTAACGGCAGAGGGATGAATTCTGTAAGTCTACCCTGTGGGGTACATGCAGGCATCCAGACCTACTGGCTATCTGGTGCCCTGACCTCTGGGACCCCGCATGGCTTCCTCTTCCCAATTCTCTCTTCTTCTTCCTTCCCTGTCCCTATCAGGGTTAAGCAGTGAAGAAGCAGTTACCCCGGTGCTTTCAACCCAGGAGGACTGGAGTCTGAGGCCCCTGGGACAGGGTAGTCTCATCCACTCTGATGCAGCAACAGCCTGGAGGTTCTTGAGGCTAGATGGCAGGACAGGACTATTTGTTCTGGACTGTCCTCTGTTCTGCAATGACCATCATCTGGCACTCGTTAAGGTCCAGAGGAGTTGAGGAAGAGACAGGACCCCCTGGTTCACCTCCTTATGACACACCTGGGCCCTAAGGCCTAAAGGGATGCTCAAATCCTCACCATACTTAAGCCTTGGGTCCTTCCCAGGAGAGTGTGGGTGGTGCATGATCTCAAATGCTCCTGAGCTTCTGTTTTCATTCATAAGCTACAAACCAGCCAGTGGGGCCTCATCCTACCCAGGTATAGATACCCTGGACCCAAAGGCTGGTGAACAGAAGATGCACAGGTGATTGACAATCACCTTTACACGGGAGAAAACTTACAGACACAGAACCACACAAACCTTTGAATTAGTCACATTGAAAAGAACTTCTAAAACAAAATTTAAAAAAAAAAAGAAAAGGACTTCTAGCACCCACCCCACTATTGATATCTTGGCAAAAATGTTTAAGGGAACCCAATCGTTGAATTAGTCACATTGAAAAGAACTTCTAAAACAAAATTTAAAAAAAAAAAAGAAAAGGACTTCTAGCACCCACCCCACTATTGATATCTTGCCAAAAATATTTAAGGGAACCCAATCATTAGGAAAGGAAGGAGCCAGCAGAACAAGCCTCGGGACCCTCGGAGAGCCAAATAGATTTACACTCCCAGCTGCCAGAGTGTGGTGGAAAAACCTTGCCACATCAGGATGGTGGGGAGACTGACCAGAACCGTCTTGCTAGGCAGTGGAGTCAAACTAACCCTGAAAGCAGCTCTGTTCTACAATGTCTCACTGGAGGATCTGAAAGGATAGGTTAGCTCTATGTCATTTAACTCTATCTTAGAACAGGTTTCAAACGTGTAATGGCATACACAAAGCCAGCCAGCTAGGTTCCAGCTGCCTACCACCCAGCAATCTGAGCCAGAAAGGAGAAACTTCCCCTATACTCATCAGCATTGGGGTCTCAGAACACCATTGCTGAGTGAAAGAGGCCAGACCCCCCGACCCCCCAGACAGCATATGACAGGTGGTTTGGCGTGTCCGGATCCATAACCAAAACCAACTTATAACAGCAGAAAGCACTGCTCCCATCTGTGGGCAGAAGGACTCAAAGTGGGAGCTTACTGGGTGGAGGAAATGTTTCTTGTCGCCCTTTCGCTAGTCCCTGTGCCAACACTGACGGGATTGTTTGTTCACACAGTCGCATGGACGGTTTGAGCTGGAAACTCAGGATCGCTCAGCACCAGGAGGCGCCAAGGTGAAGTTACTCTGCATCAGGAGAGCCTGGTGCTGGAGGCTTGTGAGGAGGCTGCAGGAGAGGACTCTGGGAAGGAGGGTGCACATACACACGCGCGCGCACACACACACACACACACACACACATGCACGCACACACACACACACACACACGCACGCACGCACACACACAAGACTGGAGGAGATGGGAGATCTCCTCCCAGCAAGGGCTGCTGGTAATGGTGTGAAGAGGAGAACGTTGACCCAGCGAGCAGGCTCAAAGGACTTCCAGCCACAGGTAGAGCTGCTGCTCTCCTGCTCCTTGGAGCAAATATGGCTGAAAGACCGGAGGTTAAAGAAAAGCAGTGCAGCCACAAGTCATGGAGTTCCTCAAAACTGAAACTACGACTATCCTATGACCCAGCTGTGCCATTCCTGGGACTCCACCCCAAGGACTCTAGGTCAGCATCCACAGTAACAGGCTTCGTCCCTGCTTGTCGCCGCACTGCTCACAGTAGCCGAGATACAGAGCCAGCCTGGGTACTATCAACAGATGAACAGAGAAAATGTATATCCACAGATGTGGTGTGTATTCACAATGGAATTTTATTCAGCCACAAGCAAGACTGAAATGTGACATTGCAGGGAAATGGACACATCTAGAGAGTAATGTTCCAAGCTTAATAAACCGAGCTTGGACTTCCACATCTTGCCTCTCAAATGCAGAGTCTAGATTTACATCTGTGTGTTTGAGGGCGAGGGAGGGTTAAAGAATACACATGAAATGAGAGCGGAATCAGGGCTCCTTGAGGGGAGGAAGAGGTGGGGGAATAGAAAAGGGGAGAAGGGGATGAATAAGCAATATAATTTCAGGCCGGGCATGGTGCCACACACCTTTAATCCCAGCACTTGGGAGGCAGAGGCAGGCGGATCTCTGTGAGTTCAAGGCCAGCCGGGTCTATATAGTGAGTTCCAGGCCAGCTGGGGCTACTGGGAGACCCTGTCTCAAAAAAAAAAAAAAAAATAAATAAATATAATTTCATGCACATGTGAAAATACAAAAAATTTTATAGATTTTTCTTTTTTAAATTTAAGATTTATTTCAATTTTTAAAATTATGTGTATATATGTGTGTCTGTGTGATGGTATGTGCACGTGAGAGTGGGTTCTGACAGAAGTCAAAGGTATCAGATCCTCCAGAAGCTGGAGTTACAAGCTGTTGTGAGTTACCCAGTGTGGTTGCTGGGAATTGAACTCAAGTCCTCTGGAAGAACAGTATGTGCTCTTAACTGCTGAGCCATCTCCCAGCCCAGACTTTTATTTTTAATTATGTGTATGCATATATGTCTGTATGTGGGTATGTCCACGTGAGTGCAAGTGTCTTTGGAAGTCAGAAGAGGGCCTCCCCTGGAGCTGGAATTACAGGTGGTTATGAGCTGCCATGTGAGTGCTGGGAATCAGACTCAGGTCCTCTGTGAGAGTTGTAAATTCTCTTAACCACTGAGCCAGCTCTCTAGACCAAAATAAAACTTGTTTTGTAAAGACAAAGAAAAGAAGAGACAGATGTGCTTGTGGTCAGAGGTGAGCTTGAGACTTGGCCTCCAAGCAAAGATGAAGCCCAGCGTGCTTCCGGGGTAGGCGGTGCAAAGAGAGACGTGCGTGCAGCCCAGTTGCAGTCTGCTGAGATCAGGGGAGGCAAGGACAGCGATCATGGCTCAGGCTCCGTGCAGTCAGATGGTCAGAGCTGGAGCCACTTGGTCTTCAGAATGCCACTGGTCTGTGATCACCAAACACCTCTGAACAAGCCACTGAATGTGACAGCCTCCTACCTGAAATTAACACTCCCAGGCTCTGGAAGGGTCACAAGTCTAAGGCATGCACAGAGGACGAATGGCTATCATGGCAGGATCGTGTGTGCACAGGAAGCTGTGGGAAAGAACAAAGGTTCTGAGAGGCCTGACTACTGTAGGGGAGCCATGTCTGCAACGCATTCATATGTGGGTGGTCTCACTCTGGTTGCCCTGGACAACACAGAGGGCAAAGTGATACAGCTTCCATCCCATAGCCCACCCAGAATATTGGCTGGAGCCTTTGTACCCTGGGAGCTACCTCTGTCTGCATAGGGCACTGTACACCGAACGCAGACAGGAGACCCACAGGTGCAGAAAGGTGGGGCTATTCAGGTGCCGATTCATATGTGGGTGGTCTCACTCTGGTTGCCCTGGACAACACAGAGGGCAAAGTGATACAGCTTCCATCCCATAGCCCACCCAGAATATTGGCTGGAGCCTTTGTACCCTGGGAGCTACCTCTGTCTGCACAGGGCACTGTATACCGAACGCAGACAGGAGACCCACAGGTGCAGAAAGGTGAGGCTATTCAGGTGCCTGTACACTTGGCTCTTCAGACACATGGGCCATTAAACCTCTCCCCTCACCTCTCTGCATGGACCAACTGTCTAACCAGACAGAACAAGGGCAGGAGAGTGAAGGCCACAAAGTACCGTCTTTTGGGAGGATGACAGCCTGCTTGGAGAGCTGCAGAATTTCACTTGTGTCCAGGAATTCTCGGAGACTCAGGAAGCTGGAGACGTTCTGTCTATCTGCAGTTGGGGGTCAGAATCACAGCAGTGGGGGACCCATTCTAATATTCCTCCCTACACATTGTCATTCTGTCCCTAACCCTAGTTCCAAGGCAGCAAGCCTGAGTCAGTCTACAGGAGGTAAGCACCTGGAAGTTCCCTCTATCCCCACATCTACTACAGCCAGTCCCTGGGCATGTCCTGGCCAATTGCATTCTTAAACATGCCCACCTCCCCATCATATCACTTTCCATTCACCCTCCCCCAAAGCCTGCCCTTGTTCCTGCTGGAACCAGCCACCCTGTCCTAATCTTTGGTTTCCCAGAGCTTGGAACTCACAACTCACATCCCAATCTCATTCCAGACAGCCCACACACGCAGAAGAATGCCTCAACACCACAACCCCCACATCCTGACCCCTCCCCGTGAGGGTTCCCCCTCACCCCTGCTGCTGCCTCCAGCCCTGCACACAGCGAGCTCCACTTCCACAGCCCCTCTCAGACCACCCACCATCACCTCTCACCAACCACCCTCCCTCCCAGATGGTCAGCCTTGCCTGGCAGTCTTGCTGTCCCTCGACCCTCCCTCACCCCTGTGCCCGTGGCCCCTCTGGCCCTCTGCCACCCTAGCTCTGACTCCCAAAGGCAGCATTGCACGTGACACTCACTCAAGAGCAGCAGGCTCTTGTGACTGATGCCTGCATGCCCCAAGCGGAGGTATATTAGGCCGTAGCTATAGTCAGTGGACAGTACATGGAAGGCCTTTACTCCTTTCACTGCAAAAAAAAAAAAAATCTCCAGTAATCACTGGTGCCTAGACACCATTGCCCACCACAGTACAGCTCTGGCACCCAACACCTCAGCCAGTGTGGCCTTTCTCCCGTGACCTCACCCCCCCCCGCCCACTGCCAGATCAGGCCATCCAGAGGAGTGTACTGAGCTCTGGGACCACAGCCAGCCTGGCCACCCATCCTGGATGCCTGGCCCACCCACCACATGCTCTGGGGAATGAGGGAAGGGCTGCTGCCAAGTCTCGCGGTCCCCCATAGCCCAGGTGTCCTACGCACAGGTGTTCCTGAACACGGGTTTCTTCTTGTTTTTTCTCAGGGTCACCTCCCATGACTGGCATCTCTGGGACCTGGGGAGCAGATGCTATGAGCTATAGCCAGGAGGACCTTGTGGCCCACTGGCCACCCCCTCCCACAACTGACTTAGCCAACTCTTCTCACACTCTACCCCTAGGACCCAGGGATGAGGCAAAATGGATGGGAATTTGGGTGGGAATTTCCCAATTTAGACAAGAGCCTGTCCAGAGCTGAGAGATCCACTCCTAACACCCCCTCCCTATCTGACAGGTGCTTCTCAAAAGTCACCCCTTGGGTTTTAGAGGAGGGGTAGGGGACCATGCAGCTGGCTTGCTTCCTCTCAGGACCCCTTTCCCCTATCTGTTGACGCCTTTCTCCTGGAAGGGGAACTGCCCCTGGTCAGTCTGCAAAGGTGTACTAGGACCCCTGCCACATCCCCTCACCGGCTGAAGGCGATGACCACCCTGAGCTGGCCCATCCTGTGCACCTTCACCACAGATGCCCCCAGCTTTCTCTTGTCTTTCGTTGGCAGGAATCCCTGGATGTCTGTGGCGATGGCAATGATGTACCAGAACCCTGAGAACTGCAGGGTGTTAGGGAGGACAGTGTTGGAGCTGCCACATCATGCTGCCCCCACCAGAGACTAGACCCAATAAGTGGCCCTTTCCCATGGCCCAGTACACATCTGTGCCTGAAGGTGGGCACTACTCCATCCTGAACCAAGCTGAAGAGAAGCTGATACTTGCCCAGTCAGGGGCCGCAGGAGGCTGAGGTCTGAGCCGTAGCCATCCATCCACCTCAGAGACACCTTCCCTCTTTGCCTCCCCAGGCCATGAGCACTCAGCCCCTCCCCTCCCACTTGCTCCTGAGCTTCTGGCCACCAGCTCTTTCCTGCTACAGGCCCCTAGCCCCTAGGTACTCTGTGCTTTGTGAATCCACCTAGCCACTGTGCCCACAGCCAGCCCACCTGGAACTTTCCCCTAATTGTTCCACCATATATATATACCCAACACTCTGCCTCTAGCTTGTCCCCTGGCCTCTGCCTTGGGGTACTCTTCCCCTTTACAGAGGCATCACCAGGGCTCCCGGGACTGGGACAGTGGCAGGGGAGAGGACAGGTTACCAACCCAATTGGACTCAGCAGATACTGTACTCTGCCCTTCTGCTGGGGTCATTATCCCAGCTGCTCTTGGGGCTGAAGTCCATGTGCCCTGTATCCTGTACCCTCTGACTCTGGCCCCTGATGAAAGGATGAAGAGGTATGTAGCTCACCTTGCCCCAGTTGAGGGCATGGGCCTCCTTGGGGAAAAACTCCTGTGTCCAGGACCCCACAGCCAGGACTAGGGCTATGGCCAGGGCCAACTCCAGCTTCATCCTCGCCCGCTGCAGCTCAGGATTTCAGCCTCACTGTCCTGCCCTACCCACCCTGTAGTAGTATCTGACCCATCCTGAAGCTTGAGCTCCGGGGGAAGGCTGGGTGGGAGGTGGGTAGGTGTGGCTTCAGGCTATGCCCCTCCCCCGGTGCAGAGGCCAGTCAGGACACTTGGCCCTCAGTCTGGCCGTTGTTGGTTGCAGTGGATGTTGCCTGCCTGGGAGGCCCCTGCAGATGGGCAGCAACATGTTCTCAGGGATCACAGAGAAGCTGGTCCTCACATCTCCCAGGGCTGAGGAGCCTCCTCCTGTCTCCTGCAAACCATTTCAGCCTGTGCTATGTCAGCTACCAGTGAGTGCCCTGGGGCTCACAACCCTAACCTTAGGCCAGATGAGAAGCATAAGCCCAGGGTTGGGTCTAGGGAACACACAGTGGCCTCTGGGCACAGATTTTGGAGCTGCCGTCCCAAGGCAGAGGTGTTGATGGCCAGACCAGGGAGGGGTATGAGGGTGTGTGTGCATGGAAATAGCTGCATGGCTTTGAGGCCTGAGCCCTCCCTTCAGGTTCCCCTCTCCTCAATGAGTGACATCACTCTGCCACCTCTAGGCCAGCTGTCCCAGTTGTGAGGAAGACCCTTAGGCTCAGGCTTTGAGAGTCACACCACACACACACACACACACACACACACACACACACACCACCCGCAGCACCCTCCTGCCCTGATAGCTAGGCCATGAGAGCTATACCCTCCCGCAAGGCAGTGTGTAGAGCCCCCTACTAGCCAGCCTGTGGATGCTGACCCCCTCCCTGACTAAACAGCCCTTGGATGCTAAGCCCTGTTGCTGAGCAGCACACAGTGTGCCCTCCTGCTAGGCAATGCATGGATGATTGGCCCCCTGCCTGTGGATTCTGATGTTCTAGTAGCTGCCTCAACATTGTCCTGACCTATTCACAGGCTCTTGCCTAGCCCAGACAGCTCAACCTCCAACATTCCGGGCATCATGTCCAGTCCCCAGTGAGAAGCCACTAGCCTGTCCCCAGGCTCAGAGAGTTCTGGTAAGGGATGCAAGTACAGCAAAATCCCTTGTCTCAGAGCTGGCTCTGTGGTTCCATGGCCTGGTCTCCGATCATGTCCCCTTCCCCTGCCCTCACTACCTCCACAGCACAGGGGCTGTCCCAGTGAAGACACATTGTGGCAGGCTTACTATGAAATCACTTTATTCTCAACCAAGCAAGAGCCTGGGGGAGCAGGAAGCCAACACCAGCGCCTCCAGTCACCATGCAAGGACAGCTCCTGCCCGCCTCCACCGGGACACCAGGATGCTGTGGTGAGATCATGAGGATGCTGTGGTGCGATCACTGAAAACCAGGACAAGCACTGTGGGCAGACTCACAAGAATCATCACCCCTACCCTCAGCCACCTTCACAGCAGCAGAGCCACGGGCTGCATGGGCTCCTCCCGCCACCCAAAGAGGCAGCAGTGATGCATGAGGAGGTGGCCTACCTGGAGGAGCTCGTGTGCACAGGTGACTGAAAAAGAAACAAGCCAGCTGTGAAGACGGGGCTACAGCAGCTGCAGTGCCCTGGGCTCTGCCCACAGACCCCCCTGAGAGGAGGCCATTCCCTCAGGCCTGACTGTGACAGGCATGGATGACCCCTTGAAGTACCCACAAACTGGAAGAAGGCAGGAAATGCCCCCACAACCACCTCAGTCGCTCCCCGCGGACATCAGAACTGTCTGGGCTCCCTGCATCCACGCCTATGGACACTCACGGTCCTTCTGAAGCCGGGCCTGTTGCTGGGACAAGAAACCCAGGCCCTGACTCCACTTGGTGAACAGCTGCATGCCCTCCTGGCTGGCCATCTCTGTCCGACCTGGGCGGAAAAGGGCAGCCTGAGAGCTGGTCAGGGGGTGGAGAGTGTGGATGCGACTCCTGCCCACTCTACATCCCCAACCCCAGTCAACCCCAAGGTGGCTGGGCTGATCCTATATGTGCCCAACTAGGGCCTGTGGTCAGAGTGCCTGGGTCTCGGGCGCCAGGGTGAACTGGCCCTGTATATCCCCAACTAGGGCCTGTGGTCACGGAGTGCCTGGGTCTCGGGCGCCAGGAACCCTGAGCAACCTCGCCTGTACCACTCACTATATAGTTCCACCGTGTTGAAGGTCTCATCCCCAAACTCCAGCTGGGTGAAGACAACAGCATAATCTTTGAAGTTAGTACCCAGCACTCGGTAATCCAGCACGCCCAAGGCTAGAAAGAAAATGCAAGGTCCAGGAGGGGAAGGGGAACAGGGTCACCATGCCACCTGGGCATAGAACCTGGATTTGCCACAGGGATGAGGAGCAAACTCAGAGCAAGACCCCATCCATCCCCAGGAGAGGTCTCAAGCTCTGTCCCCTGATCCCTGACCCCTACATTGTGGCGGGAAGAAGTAGCTCCTGGTTGCTGATGGACAGATGGACAGGTGAGTGCTTGCTCCAGCCCATGCTGAGGTGACTGAGAAGCAATTGGGTCACCCTATCTTTGTGGGAGTGAAAAGCTGCTGACCAGGCACCCAGTCCACTGCACCCATGGAGGAACCTAGGGACCTGGACTAGGACCCCATGAGCATCTGGGCATCCCTGGAGGGCGTGAAGACCCCATCCTCTGTCCAGGGGCCTCCCTTTTCCTGAGGATCAGCCTCAAGGCCCTGATAAAGTTGAATCCTTTAACTTCCTGCAGAAAGCTTGTGCTGATTCTCTGGAGTAAAGTGGCCTCTTCCCTGCCAGTGCTGGCCTGGCCGACTAGGGTCTAGGGACTCAAGGGCTGGCCTCTATGGTGGTAAGGAGGTCCCGGCAGTTGTCAGACTCACAGGGGTTCTCAAACACCCATCGGGAATCTTGCTTCAGCAGCTCCACAGTGTTCTGGTGGCACCCATTCGGCCTAGGAAGCAAAGGGCCCCACAATAGGAAGCAGGCCTCTGAGAGTCACGCCGTCCCACCAGTGGGAAGAGCCTCAAAGAAGGTTCATTTCCTCCTTGATGAGTTACCCAGAGATCCGACCCTGGCACTTCAGAAGCACCAGCCATTCCCAGAAGGCTTTGGTGCTGAGAGTACACATGACATCAGCCTGTGGTCCAGGTGAGGAGACAGTGTCCAGGGGTCCCCCAACATGTCAGCCCCTAAAGTCAGCAAGCCCAACAAAAGTGTAGCAGTGTCTGTTAGACAAAACAAGCAGGCCGCACAGTGTCTATAGGACAAGACACCTATAGTGAGAGATGGTGGGGAGAGTCTGAAAGGAAAAGTGGCCCAAGCTGGTCCACCAGATGAGGTCCACACCTTAAGCCCATGCCGATGTCTAGGTAAATAAACAGATCAAAGAAACAGACTAGAAAGTCCAAAAACAAAGCAAAACTCACCCAGACACGTACATGTGACAAAGGTCACACTTTGAATCACTGGGGACAGAGGGACCAGCTGTGAGTCCGTGGCATTGGGCTGTAGAGTGGTCTGGGTGTGCCTCACACTTCACAGGGCAAAATTCTAGATGTAGCAAAGATACAGGAGGGCTTCCAATGCCTCCCACCCCCGATGTCTCAGCACCCAGACCTGGTATACACAGCAGTGCAAAAATGTAAAAACAACTCACAGAAAAGAAAAACTCTTCAACAGCATAAGAAACACAGCAAACTGGACACATACTTGTAGTATATTCATAGTCCACTAGTAAAAAAACTAGTTTTTATTACATACTAGTTGCTAATTCCCCAAGTATTCAAGACTTCCCATAAACCAGTAAGAAACACTCCAGAGAAAAACACAGATATTTGAAGAGAGATCACTGGGAAGAACCCGCGAGAAGCTCTGTGGCATATATGGAATGCTTCCAGAAATGTTCGTGGGTCTCACACTTAGGAAACATGAGGGCGTGGTGACACACCTGTGATCCCAGCACTCAGGAGGTGGAGGCAGGAGGATCAGGAGTTCGAGGACACCCTTGGCTACACAGTCAGTTTGAAGCCAAATGAGAGAGAGAGAGTAGGAACATGGGGACTGGAGAGATGGCTCAGCAGTTAGGAAAGAGCACAGGCTGCTCTCACAGAGGACCTGGGTTCAATTCCCAGAACCCACATGGCGGCTAACTGTCTGTAACTCCAGTTCCAAGGGATCCAACGCCTTCTTTTGACCTCCGTGGCATTACACAGCACAGGTATACCACCTACATGGAAGTAATACATTCATACACATAAAATTTAAATAATAAAATGCTAGAAACTTATTTTTTAAGGGTAGTTAGATAGCTTAGGAGGTGCAAACATATACACAT